AAAAAAAAAAAAAATTTTGGGTTTTTGAAAAATTTGGGTCGGCGGGTAATGCAAAACGAAAATTTAACTTTACGTGGCCTTAATGCTTTTTTCTTCTCTTGCACTTGCAAGATATTGTATACTTGCTAAGGCCTTTTCACCTTCCAATTCAAGTTTGATTCAATTCAAAATATCAGTATTAACTATGCTCAGTTCTGATTGATCAACTTAAATATTTCGCCTCATAAAATTTAAATTCTTCTTCCTGGACTCAATGACCCGGCCGGGTTATGAGAACCAAAAAATTAACTTTTCCTGGCCTAATAGTGCTATACTAATATATATGTATATATATATAATTTTTAGTCAGGATTCCAAACAAATTAATAACAGAACTAATTTAGTTAAGCTTTTAACCATGTCAATCTGTTACTTTATTTTACAAAAAAGTAACAAAAATTAGAGTTCCAATCCGATTGGCATTTATCCGGATAAAATTTAGATCGGATACTTGGATAACGGATAACAGATATATCCGTTTACTATTGATATCCGGATAATTATCCTATTATCAGATCTGATCTGTTTATTCGATCTGAATTATCCGGATAATTCAGATATGGATAACGGATGACAGATTTATCCGGATTGGAACTCTAACAAAAATAATAAATCATATAATGGGAATTGAATCGCAATAAAATGACGTGATTGTGGAGGGATTATAACTTATGAACTTCCTTTTTTCTTGTATGCCCGATATTGCCAAATCGTATCGCCTCTACTTATTTGGTATGCTGTGTGGTGGTGGTCAGTGTATAAAATCTGAATTACAAAACGTGCACAGGGTAAAATTTTATATGTAAAGCAAAAAAAAAATAGATTGATTTTATACACTAGTGGTGGTTTGTCCTGTGTTGTTTGGTGGTGATTGCCCACCCCGTGTCGCTGCCCCATCGCCTCCCACAGCAGGGAAGTTTAGATTCATGACGTAATCGAGAGTCCTAATTAGAGCTTGGATCCGTTATCCGTTTTAATTTTAAATTTAATGAATATCCAACGGATTTTACTATTAAGAACGGATAGCCGGATCCAAGCTCCAGTCCTAACTGTACACGCATGTATGTACATCATTCTCGACCATTAAGTAAATTATTTTGAAACTCCACATGTGGAATTTTTATATTACTTTGTCGATCATATCATAGATAATTGAACCATATTAGGTTTATGTTCTATCGGTCATTCGGGTATTTTACCATATCAAATTTAGCGTTCAATTTTAACCTATCAAATTCCCGAAATTGAAGCAATAGTTTTATAATTTTTAATACATGCTCTACACTGAAAATTTCATTCTCTGTACTCACCAGTTCTTAAAATGTGTCAATTATGGATGATTTCAGACTGTCATTTTTAAGGTTAGTAAACACGTATAACTCAAATTAAATAATTGTCAACTCGTAGGATCACTGAATCAGATAGATTTCTACATTCTTTATTCACTTTAATATTGAAAATATTTGTACAGAAGAATAAATAATGTTAAGAGGTTCTATTCGAATATGGGGATTGAATACGCGCTTCCGACTTATTATTTTGCTTTTATTTATCTTTGGATTATTAACGTATAGTCTTATAAATATTTCTGATACTGAGATTCCGTATGTGCATGTTATTGATTACGAAAGTATTTTGAAGGATTCGCAACTATGGTTTGGAGATATATTCTTTAATAGAGCTTCACAATATATAGGCCCAGAAGTGCATTTAGAGAATGTTACTCGACTTCCTAAAATACAATATAAATTTTTCAAAGGTGAAAATCGCAATGAAAAAATATTAAGAGAATTACGTCGTGATTCCATAAAAAATGGATTTCTTCACGCTTGGAGAGGATATGATAAATATGCGTGGAGTTATGATGAATTATTACCGACAACAAATAAAGGCAGAAATAATTTTAATGGTTGGGGAGCAACGATTGTTGATTCATTGGACACAATGTGGATTATGGATTTGAAAGAAGAGTTCATGCAGTCTAGGGATTTTGTTGAGTCTGTGAACTTTACACAAACTGAAGGTTATGTAAATGTGTTCGAGACTACGATTCGCTACCTAGGAGGATTATTGAGTGCATATGAATTATCAAATGATCGGGTATTTTTAGAGAAAGCACTAGAATTAGGCAATGCTCTGTTGCCTTCTTTTAATAGTCCTACTGGATTACCATATAACAATTGGCACTTTACAAGGTTTGTTCATTTTACGAAATAAATAAATTTTATTATCACTATTATCACCTGGTTAATAACCTATATACTTCTGAAGACAAACTGGTAACAATTTCAATGCATTACTGGCACAAGTTGGGACCTTACAATTGGAATTTACGAAATTGTCACAATTAACGGGTGATAGCAAATTTTTCTTAAAGGTAAGCTGTTGTTAAAGTTCTGACCTCATAATTAATACTGTTTATTAACGTAATTACATTATGTCATTGTGAAATTGGCAAAAGGTTCAAAACATAACAAATCTTCTTGATAACGCAAAGAAAGAAATTCCTGGATTATATCCCTTATCAATAAGTATTGGTATGTTGTGGTTCAAAAATGTTGTAAACTTTCTAATGTCAAAAACTCTTATTTATTTCTTATTTTTGCTAATTTAAAAAGGGACGGGTAAATTCTCAGGCGGTAAGTTTTTATCGAGCAAATTAAAAGTTGTACAAGTCATGCTTTTTATCAACAATAATTTTTAATTAGATCACATATCGTTTGGAGCTGATGGTGACAGTTTTTATGAGGTATCCATAATGTTTTTTTATGTTCATAATTTACGATTATTTTTATTTAAATTGCTTAATTATATACTTTAGTATTTGCTCAAGGAGTATATACTCGTTGGAGGTGCAATTGACCAATATCGGAGAATGTGTATGTGTTTAGAATATAATGATTAAGAATTTTGATAATGTATCATAATACTCATTTAACAGATATAAAATATATTCAGACGTTGAATCTATTGATAGCATGCACACATATCTTATTAAAGATAGTATAATTAAAGATCGACCAGATTTGCTGTTCCTTGGTGGTTTACGTTATAATAATTTTATAAATGAAATGGATCACTTGGTAATTATAACCTTTTCATTATTGATTTTGATAATGAAAAATATATACGCCTATGCAAACATTTATGCGTACGTTTATTTATACATTTTTTTTGACTTGTTTAAATAATAAATTAGTCATGTTTTGTTCCTGGCATGCTTGCCATTGGATCGAAAATTCTAGATCGACCTAATGATCTTGAAACAGCCATAAGATTGGCAGAAACATGTTATTGGACTTATAATATGACATCTACTGGAATTGGTCCAGAAAAGATCTGGTTTAATAGTTTTGATACATCGTCAAATAATCTCCCAAAAGGATTAAATAAAATAAATCCCACATATATATTGAGACCAGGTAAAAATATTTATCTTTTACTGATTTTAATTATTGATAAATCATTTCGTATGATTGAGATACACTTATTATCCTTTAACTATTATAAAATTGGGTAATGCAAATAGAAACTGTTGAAAGTTTGTTTATTTTATATAGAATAACAGGTGATAAAAAATATCAAGATAAAGCGTGGGAAATATGGCAGGTAATGATACATTATTTAATTAATTCTTATTGAAAGATACTTTATTGACTCATTTTTATTATTTATACTTGAAATATAGTCTATTGAAAAATGGTGTAAAACTTCTACAGCCTATTCAGGTCTAAATAATGTAAACAGTGAACATGCAATCATGAACAATAATATGGAAAGGTAACATTGTTTTCGTACCCTGTCTTAAGTAATATATTAAATATTAATATTTGATTATTTTTTTATTTATTGAACCCACCCTCATCCTAATCGATGTTCTAAAGTTTTTTCCTAGCGGAAACACTAAAATATCTATATTTAATATTCAGTCCACCGAGCATAATATCTTTAGATACTTATGTGTTTAATACCGAAGCGCATCCTTTACTAAGAATGCAAAGATCTTAATCAAAATTTACATAATTAGTAGGTACTAGTGTTCAGGCGCGTCCTTACGGACGTGTCATTTTATAGACTTAATCATATTTTTTTCAAGTATATTCATTCGTATTATTAGTTTTATTTTCTAACAGTCACTATATTTATCTGATTTAAAATAATGTTCGCTATGCTATACTAAAGCTGTTCTCAACAGCTCCCTCTATTAAGATCCATTGAAATTAATTAAAGTGATCATTATAATAATTTTGCCAAAATTATTGAGCGAAGATACAGATTTTAAATTTCAGTGAATCAGAATAACTCTATAAGTAAAAATAGTAAATCAAATGAATGAAAGAAATTAAGGGCGTACTCAAGCGCCTCAATTAATGGGTTAAAATATATCGAAAATGTGTCGGGAATTAAAGTTTAATTAACGGAAAGTATTTTTAGTCGATCAATCATTTGTCATTAGGGTTGTTAATGGAGTACTCCAGGCATTAATAAAACATATAACCCACTTCTGGAGTGCTCCGGAGTGGGTTATATGTTTTACTATAGACTGGAGTCAACTCTATTTGTCATTAAGTAATGTAGTTTATTACGTGAAAAAAAAATTTTAAATAGTAAAAAATGAGCAGTTGGTTTACCATTTCAGTTAAAAGACTTTTTTCTCCGAACCACCTTTTTTCTGTGCTGACTTATTAAAATTTATAAATATTAAAGTGAATAAAATATTGCTCAAGTGATTGTATACTTATTATTATGGATTTTCGTAATCAACACATATAAATTATTTAGAATCTCAAGCAGTGATTGAGACCTTTATTTTGATCTATCGTTGCAATTTAACATCACTGCAATGATTAGAAAATCACAGTAATAATAATGTTTGAGCAAATCTCAATAATATCGTCATTCGCATTATTGACTTTTACCTAAAATATTATGACAATAGCTAAAAATACGTCATAATATTTTGTGCACTATTTCGGTCACTATGAATTCGCATCTAGGCTGATGCTTCTAAATAAGGTAAAATAACTTTTATCATATTCAATTCATCAATTAATAAATGATGTTATATTCGGTGGCTAAGGTCGTTCTCTTGAAGAGTTACGGAATGATATGATTGGCTGAAAATTGATCGTACCCTTGTTATAACATATTGATCGGGTAAGTTATGAATATCCATTATATATAGTATTATATAGCACGATAATTTAAATTGTCCATAGAATCACGACATTATAATGAAAACCCTACTTTAACTGAGTCCACTATAACGAAAGTAAAGTGTATTACTTAGGTTGAAAAACCTAGTGCAGCCACCAATGGAGCTTTGCTATTTACCGTTGATAGAGTAATCAAGATGACTGCTCTTATTTTACTATTTGCCCTCATAAATGATAGTTTTTGACAATACTTGAGTATCGAAGGAATCTTGAGCTTCTTCCTATAAAAGCATAACCACAAGCTGAATCCCGGACGCCTATATACGATGCTTTCCCAAAACTGATGGTGACAGTACAGTGACCGAAAAATAGTGTCACATGATTGAGCAGGTGTTGTTAGTTATTTCAGCGCATTTATGAAGCATATAAAATGCATCTTCTTTTTTTGGCAACGTATAACTCCAGAAAAATGGGTTGGAGATTGTTTATGCGTTTTGCAATAAGGAACGTAAAAAAAAACAATAGTAATTGCAAATTCTGAACAAAAATAAAATTAAAAATTACATCATCAAAATAAGTTTAATGATTATTCTATAACACTTAACCTCATATCAACCTAAACTACAAAATGAGTTTCTATATATTAAAATTATATTAAAATTCTCTCATATATATCAACTTTTCTCATTAATATCACTGTCAACATGAATATAAAAACGATCCAACCGAGTTGATATTAACGAGTCAAATGTAACGCGAATTTTATCAATATTCAAAGGTTTACTGTATAAACCACATGATGAGCAACTTAATCTTTTAGATATAGTTATTAATAAATTAACACCTTAGACTTCCAATCCTTCATTTTATGAGGTTAATTCGGTAGTAGTACTTATCAAATACACCCAGTTTCGCCCCAGTTATTAATTGTGTTTATATTTGATTTAGCAGATAGCTCATTTATCTGATTATTATCTGTACTTGGGGGTTTATAATACTTGAAAGGTGAGAGATTATATCTTCAAAATGGCTACAGTGCGGGACAGCAAAAAACAGCCAACTTTTTTAAAAAAAGCGCCAAATTTGAGAATTTATAATGATTCTGATTGGCTAATTTTTGTGTAACAAAAATTTGATTGGTTAAAAAATATAAAATTGATTATTTTTTATATAATAAGCGCCAAATTTTGGTTTTTATATGTAAATTTATAAATTTTAAACCCTAATAACTTTTTAAATTTATAATAAAAATAAAAATCTGTCTTACAGAATTGTAGCTTAGACTAAAAGCAACAAATCTGTAAGACAGATTTTTTTTAAAGTCATTTGTTCAAAAGTTATAAGCATTTTTATATTTATATATAAAAAAGTGGATGTTTTTTGCTGTCCTGCACTGTACTACCCGTAATTTGCGGCAAATAGTACCCGGGTCTCTTACATTCCTAGGCCTTAAAAATTGATTAGTACCCTCCCTGGGACTGTCAATTGACTATTAAATTGACGCACAATTGACTGTGGACGGGTACTTTAACAAGGGGGTACTATTTGCCGCAAATTACGGTAGTTGCAATTTAATTAAATTATTATTTCTTTATTCACCATCTATATAGATCAAAGTAATATATCATAGATAATGTAATAAATGTTCTGATAACTACTTATTATTGCATTTTATTAAAATATAAAAATTATTTTATACTGTATATAAGATTTAATTTAAAAAGAAACCTTATACAAAATTATTACTAGTAATAAAATAGCAGCTTATTGTGAACTATAAAATAATTAATTAAATAATAAACTAAAACAAAATTCAAACAATACATGATTTGAAAAATCTTTAATTCTATTCATAAAATACAATTATCTATCATATAGTGCTAACTATATCACATTGAGTTAAAATCTTAGTTTTTAATAGCTTCACAAGACAATGATTCATTTCTAATTTTTCTATACATTTATGTCTAAAGCTGTTAGAGCAACTATTAAAATATTCGAAATTTGCAAATTTATCAATCAAAAGCCTTACTGTCTAATTTAATTTTATATGCTTCTAATTTTGCTATATTAAGAATATCATTAATCATAGATAATATATCATAAGTCTTAATAATATTTGCATTATGAATTGCTTTTATTTGTGCTTCTTTTATTGTCATCTCTTTTGATAATTTTACATTATCAATAGTCAGATTTATCTGATTTGATATATATTGGAATAATTCTATTTTATATTATTCCAAATAGAATATATGCTTTTATTCATCCCAAATATTTATTATTAGCTATTATCCTTGCAAATAGCATAGCCAATTGTCTATTAGTATCTATACAATATATATTATGTAAAGCCTCTACTTTAATAAAATAATCATTTTGCATATTAGAGCTTTTGGAAAATAAGTAGGTTGAGTTCTAATTTTCAGAATTTAATTGATTATTAATTTTTCAGATGTTAAATTGTTTACTGCATGATTTTTATTTTATTAAATAAATTAAATATTGTAGCGTTGTAAGCAACTAGGGCAGCCATGGCTAAAGGTTGCATGATTTATAAAAGTAGGATTATTAAATTTAGTTAATAAATATCTAAATATTATTAATTAAAGTTTTTGCTTTTTTTTTTTTAAGCAATCTTGTCTTTATTTATCTGAACTACTATTCTAATGACCGTACAATGTACTTACATTTTT